AAGAACGTCGAATCTGAATCACTTGAAAAATATTTGGGGGTGCTTAACTTTTTTCCAGGTGTATATAATAGACACATGACATTTCCTTCCTCTAAGTAAAAGGATGTTTTTTATCCTTGTTAAATCTGAATATATCTGGATCTTAAAGAATGTCAAACTCCGTATCACTTCCAGACAGTGTTTACAAGGTGGATCTAAGGTACTTGTAGCTACAATATCATTTGTGACTGAAATTAGTTTCATTATCAACTGCTGGTCTGTGTAGATTTAATGTCATTTGTGACTCATGACTTTCTTGCACATAAACCCATGCTTAACGGTTTTTGATCAAAGTAGTTTTTAAGACCAGTGGCCTTTAAAAGTGTATCAACAGAAACTTATTAGTTTTTTAACCTTTGCTAAATGTATTTATTTATTAACCTATACTTTTTCTTATTATTAATCTATTATTTCTGTCATTAAAAGAATCAGAAAGTTTGATTTATGGGCTGTTCTTTCTGTTGTCTGATCTTGATAATAACCTCACTTTATGAAATACAAGTAGGAATACAGAAGCATTTAAAAAAACTATAAATCTATGGTTAGAATATTCAATAAATATTCCTTCTCTGTCATGCCACACTCAATGCACAACATTCAATTTTCAAGTAAGGAAAATAAAAGTAAAAGAGCCTTCACTTTACCAAATACATGTATTTATTAGTTATTTCTATATGCTTATCAAAGATAATAATCAAATATTAATGTACAGATAACCAATGAAGAATAATGTTTTTACCAGTATGTCATTTACCTTCAATTTGTTTATTATTTAACTGTAATTAATGTTTTGTTATGTGTTTTTCTACATAGTTGATGCATCTGGCAAAAAGATTCGTGGTAGATCAGAAGGAAAAGTTAGGAATTACAACCAGTTTGGTGAGTATATGTAGCTGAACTTGTTAAGGGAAACCGTTTAAAGTTAGGAATTACAACTAGTTTGGTGAGTATATGTAGGTGAACTTGTAAAGGGAAACCGTTTAAAGTTAGGAATTACAACCAGTTTGGTGAGTATATGTAGCTGAACTTGTAAAGGGAAACCGTTTAAAGTTAGGAATCACAACTAGTTTGGTGAGCATATGTAGCTGAACTTGTAAAGGGAAACCGTTTAAAGTTAGGAATCACAACTAGTTTGGTGAGCATATGTAGCTGAACTTGTAAAG